AGGCGGGTTTTCCCACCCCGTGGGCCATGGCTCCTGCCTGGGTGCCCAGGGAGCTGCATTCCCGGGGGAACCGGGCTCCAGCACGAGGCTTGGCTTTGCTGAGGGGTTTTTAGGAGCCTGCGCTCCTGCCCGGCTGCACGGGGGCTCGCAGCAAAACGCCCCCCTCGCTGCCTCTCTCCTCATCAGCTTTCCCCCTTCCTCCCTTGGGCTGCAGTGTAACCCAGTTATGATCGACGCTATCAAGATATCAGCAACCCACAGAGCCCGCTATTTCTGGGGCAACCTGCCGGGGATGAACAGGTTCGTTTTGCTGCGTTTTATCTTGTTTTGGGCTTCTCCTGCAGCTCTTTCTCTATGCGAGCTCCGGCGGCTCCGCACACGTCTTGTCTCTGGGTGAGGTTTGGTGCTAATGCCCTTGCTAAGGAGCACTGTGAGGACCTGGAAAATGCCTAGATGAGATCCCTGCCCCCAAACCTGGAGTGAAGAGCCAGTAAAGGGGATCCTCGCAGTGCTGCACACAACCTGCTTGCACGGAAACGCAATGGTTGCACGCAGCTCAAGGCTCAGCCGATAAATGCAGACTTGGTTTAAATGCTTTTGCTTGCTTATGTTTAAATGGGATGATGCTGGGTGCAGGGCACTGCTGAATACGTTGCTTGGAGGGTCGTGGGGCACCACAGTGCATCCCCTTTTGGGCTATTCCTCTAAGAAGAGAGCCCAGCTCGTGGGCTGCTGGGCCCAGACAAGTGTGTTAAATAGCAGTAAATAGCCAGGGACTGGGGGCAGCTGGAAGCAGAGGTTTGAGCAGGAGGGAAAAGAAGGAAGTGATGATGGATGATGTCTTCTTGGGTCCGTGCTGTGGGTGTGGAGTGGCTCGTGGTGGTCCTTGTGCTGCGGTGCTGGCTGAGCCGGGTGTCCTGAGCGGGTAGGAGCCCTGTGCGAGGCCCTGGGTTCTGGAGGGGGCAAAGGCTTGGGCTGAGCCCAAGGACTGTGGGGAAGAGCCTGGAGAGCAGGGACAGCCTGAGCTTCTCCCTAAGGGACATGCACAGTTTATGATGCCCTTCAGCAAGGGGTGAGGCCGGGGCGAAAGGTCTTTGCCCCATCGGGAACGGCGGGAGCGGGCAGGAGGGTGTGGGTTTATGGCAAATGACCTCTAACAACTTGGCGGTGACTCAGTGCGAGTGATTTATTGACTCTGCGCTGCCCTGGTGCCCGGAGCAGGGAGGAGGAATTTCCTATTGTCTCGAGCTGCCTGCTGCTTGGTTTGCACTTGATGGAGCTCAGCGCGGGTGCTGACTGCAGGCGCAGAGCCTGCTCGTGGCTTCTCCTTTGCTTTTCCTTCGATTTTTTTCCTAGTGCAATTGTATAGCAGGGCCAGCCTGCCAGGCTCTTAATCCCCATCCAGCATCTCCCTTTAACTGGGAAATCCGAGCTGTGTTCCCAGGGGAATTCACAGCCGCACGTGACGGCGGGATGCGACTGCCCTGCAGTTCAGGGGAAGTCAGCGCTTCTGGTTCCTCTGACAACTGCCTTCTGACTCGAGCAGCGAATCTCTGGTATTTGACACTTCTGTTCCTGTCT